GTGGGTGGGTGGGTGGGTGTGAGAGGGCGGGTGTTAATTTCTGTCCTCACTGTGTTTTTACCATGAGACAGGATACTAAGACTTTATTGACTGTCTTCTCATCTCGTATTGCGAACTTGAGAACTGCACTCACCAAGGCCTATTCCGCTGTCCAATTTTTCCAAACACCCGCGCATTGAGAGAAAAAGACGGAAGGTAGGCGATATGAAATTAGATTTATAATTTTATAGCTTTTATTAATAAAGTCAGAGCAAAAAATACCAAACACCAACAACAACAGCTACAAAAAAAAACACACCCAGAAAACAAAATTAAACAAAAACAATTAGAAAATAAGATGAATCGAACTCCTGTTTTCTATAAAGCAGAATTCCAGCCTCGAATAAAAAAAGTTTCAGTTGCCGCGTTGCCGTGTCTCAGCATTTAATTGATGTTTATTCTATAAATAGCAACAGATGAGAATTCCCCATTATTTCTCCGCCATCTTGGATTTACTCCATCTATCAAAACAAGTGGCCTGTGGAGAGGTCCTGTTTCGTTTGTATCCTTCAAGGTACCCATCCTCCAAACGTGAACTGATGTGGCTCAGTTGGTAAGCATTCTGTGATTTTGTGCTACTGGTAATCGCGTCTGAATCGCTCTAGCGAGGATAAAGAGGGATGTGACACGAAGACGAAAGCGAGGTAAACGACATTTTCTCCTAAATTTTCAGTGTCTAAATCTGTGATGAGCAGACATGGGTTCTTGCGTTTCAGCCCTGGTTCTGTTCTCTTTAAAGGTTCATCAATCCCTTTGCTTGTAAATAGCATGTAGAATTTGCACATGCATGTGCTGTTTAAAAGTTTAATAAGACCCCTTGGGCTTGGGTTTTTGTGTAAGCCTGCTCGCCAAAACCGATTGAGAACATGAAATGATGAAGACACACCAGGCATTTCTCACACACAGTGTGAGTGTTTATTTTTCTCGAAAACACAAGGAAACACTCGAAAACACTAGATCTAGGAGAAATACTCAAAAACACTCGAAAACAACAGGAATCACTCGAAATCCCTTGATACCTTACCCCCGGACGCTTACCAAAGCCTTGATTACGCTTACCAAAAATTTTCTTTTGAAAAAGGAGAGTGGGCGGTGTAAGAAGCATTTTTTTTGTGGTTGTTTTGTTGGTTTGTTTTTTTGTTTAGCTTTCTTTTTGTTGCTGATATTGTGCCAGGGTTAAATAAGCGAAATATTATGTAAAGTACGATGAAGACGACCGCGAGTGCCACAGTAAAACAAGTACACGGGTCGCCACCACTCGGAGAATGGGCGACGCTTCTGTCGCAACTTCACGTGAAATCGTCACTGTCCATTTTGTTACTTTGTTCAGAGGTAAACAAAACAGTGACCAGCCACCTCACACACGATTTCTTCATGAGTTGTGGGCGGGCTTATAAGGTACGGATTGCACTTCCCTCTCCAGCAGTTGAAAATTTATTGCTAGGGCTAGGCCTACCCTGCCTTTGGTCAATTTGGGTAAAAACATTCATTGGAGGGACTAACAACAACGACCGGTGAATGAATTATGACGGCCCGTCCACAGTCTAAGGGGCCGATTCCAAATTTATGAAAAAGCGTCAGGCCATGAGTGACCACGCCTGGCTGTCTGAGGCAGGTAAATCTGAAACAGACAGACAGCTAGTTAGATATGCATGATCTGGCGTCAGTAAAATTCTGCCGTCTCATCTACTCTACTTTAATTAAGAACTTAACAATGAAGTGAGAATTAATAGTCATTTTGTCACGTCTGCATTTTTGTTTTAGACAATGTAATGGTAGTGTGGTGCGGCTGGTTTTGTCAAAACACTTTTGAATAAAGGGTAGTGTCAGGATATTAGTTGATTTGTTTTCAACCGATGTCATGGGGTCAATGGTGAGAGATGTTTGCCAAAGAATGCTCACTTAGATATTGTTTTTTTTTTTTTTCAGGACTGAATATTTCTGTCCTCGTTCACTTTTATTCTTGTTTTTTTTAGCAAAGTTGATTATAAAATGTTAGGGCAGAAGAAAATATAAAGTAAGATTTACAGTAGTGCTGACCCAGTCTGTATTTTCTCCAGAGGAATAATCTTTAAAAATTTGTCAAGTTTGAATTAACTTTAAATATTTAAGAAACTGAAGCATCTGAGCTCGACCATTCGTATATATTTTTTATTTATTCAGCACAGAGTTGATTCATCGTGATTCAGTCAAACCTGCCATGACGACCATCTCTATAATGGCCACCTGTACAAACGGCCACTTTCCATTCCCCCTCTTGCGTTTTTTCGATATAATTTCACTGTGTAAACCAGCCACCTGCCCAACGCGGCCGCGGCCACGCAACATACAATTTTAACACACAACCCCTATAACACCAAACTATAACACCTGCCTTAGACGGCTACCTTAGTGACTTCATTACGGTGACACCTGGCGTTGTGGGTGAGCTGTATTTAATCTGACCAACTGTCATTGTTGTTAGGTAGTCCCTCCAACAATCATGTTGTGTTGACCCCTCCCACTGTTGACCAATAGGTAACAATTGGGTAATAAGGTCGTCTCCATAACAATAAATTTTCAGCTGCTGGTGAGGTGAGCATGTGATCCCTCATAACCTGTAAGCCCCGCCCACAACTCATACACAAATCGTAATTGAGATGAGTGGTCTCTGTTTACCTAGTCTGTAGCAAAGTAACTATGGACGTCTGCATGAACTTGTGACAGATGTGTCGCTCGTTGTCCATGTGGTGGCGACCCATGTGTTTGCTTTAACATGGCAGTCGGTATTACTCGTCTAACACATTTCGTTTTATTGTCACCCTTGCACAAAATCAGCAACAAAATATACAAAAAAAAGCAACAAAAGACACCAAACCAACCAAAACAACAACAATGCGGCATCCTCCAGTAGGGATTTCAGAAGTCAGAAGGGAATGGTTTGTGTTTTTCATCTTGATCAGTCCTGCCTAAAAGTAAGACAGCCACCTGTCTAATACGGCCATTTTTCTCCTTGACAATGGAGTGGCCCTCTTACATAGGTTCGACTGTACTTGATAGGTAATGCCAACACAGCGCGGTGTTCACCTCTCCACCCACTTTTAATACTATCATATTACCAGAGAAGTGAATGTTTTCCCAGTACTTTCATCAGATTTGCCAGCCAATGTTTTGTTAGATTTCATTTAAAACAAAACTTGAGTTCATTGTTATTTTATTCCACCGCTCTTTATTGGTTGGTTGTCTCTTATTTTTACTGTTCTGTAACTTTAGAAGTGATTATTGTATGCATCAGGGGCCACCAAACTATTTTGGAAATTGTCCAGATAACTGAGGAAATGCAGAATATGGGGCTGATTTATTTTGCTCAATACCATACACTGAATACATAAAAAAGTAAAGGCGTCAAAGCTATTTATTTATCAATATATGCCTTATAAATACAAAGTACAGTAAAAAAAACCCTCAAAAAACAATAAAACATATTTACCAGAAGTCGCCAGATTAAGTAGTGTTTTTTATCACTCCTAGTGCGCACGGTCTTAATTTTCCAAACCAAGCCGCAACAAAATTTGAGATTTGAGAAAGTGACTTTTAGATTTCATCATTTTATTTTTATCGATCAACATTTTGCTTTTAGTTATATTGCTGCTTCCAATCAAGAGTAGATTTTATTCAGTGCTTAAGGCCATTAGCTTACATGACATGAAGGGGATTCATTTTTTCCTAAAAGAGATTTCCGTGCGACTGCAGGAATTATAGATGACACACACATATATAATATCATATAAAATTTATATAACATTTTTAAGGACAAAAACTGAGTCTCCATGACAAAATAGTATAAGTTGTTCATGATGTAGTGATATCCGTCGAACAGCTATGCCTTGGGAAGCAAGCCTTGAATGCGGTTTGACTGGGCTTGTTGCTGAATTTTAAAAAAGGGGGAGGGATGATCTCTTTTATGTATTTTTATGTATTTATTTTTTCATAAAAGAGATCACCCCCCCCACCCGCGCTCACACACATCACACACGAACAAGTCCTGATTGCAGGATATGGTGGTACTGTTGTATATATATATACAAAGTGATAGCATAGGCAGCATCAGTAGCTGAGGTTTGACCAGATCTTGTCTTTTCCGTCAAGTGATCCAATGCATGGAGATTATTAAGTAGAGGTGCATGTACACTGAAATTATAGGCCAGTCTTGGTGCTTCACTCAATAAATTTGAATTGCCTTTTGGCATTTTGTGTCAGGCAAATAATTATAACATCAAATGTTGCTTTCAGAGGCTTTGAAAGGGATGATTATTAAATATATAGGAACATTTCCATTACATAAGCTGAGGTTGCTCTTATCTGGGTTACTGTTTAGTGGACACTATGGTGCTTTTTCTGTGAGTGAAAAATAGATTTTTATCCCTACTGGTTGAGTTAGGATGGTGGGAATGAATACTTTCTTTTGAATGCAAAGCTTGAACAAGGAAAATAAAACAAACTTTATCTTCAGTTTCATGAGTGTTACATCTCTCACTCTCAATATATCATATGGGTTAATAATTTGATTTCCATTGATAAAGATTATTATTCAATAGCATGCTGTGAGTTTTTATCAAGGCTAATTCTTCAGTTCCAGGTTCCAAATGGGAGGTTGATGAATCCAAGAGAGTAGTGTTCAAAGTTCATTAAATCTTCATCGTCAACCCTTTTGTCGTTGGTATTGTGATGAATAAAAGACTTTAACTCTCATTGAAATAGAGCAAGAGGAGGAAACCCTAGATAAAAGTTATGACATTTGTAAAAGCACATAATATTTCATTTGCACGAAAGAGTTCAATGAAATCATTAAATTGTTTTGGTGATGAAGTCTTTAGCAAGCTACAAAATCTTCCAAATTTTTTACCCCTATATGATGGTATGGCAGCAGGCCAGACAAACTGACTTGGCGGGCCGCATCTGGCCTACAGGCCATAGAGTTTAGTGACCCCTGGTACATGATTGAATTGATGTGTTCGAAATACTTTCTTACGGTGCTGCTTTCTTGCATCATTGCTGTAGTGTGTGAAAGTGGCAGGCAGAGTGACCTGTTCTGTGTTGCTGTCTGTGTCATTTGGCATAATTAATTGGAGGTTCATATAGTAAGGTGACACTTTGTTGTTTACCGTTTTTATATTTTTAATTGCTTTTGTCTGTTTTGACTGTCTAGTGATGAAAACTGCTTCCGATACATTACATTCTTACTATTGTCTGTCAATATTCTGTATGCTTGTTATATAAAGTGGCAGTCATGTAAAGGAAAAGGTAGTTTTAGGACTAAGGAACAGTCCATAAGAAGAGACTCTGGAACTCTGGAATTTGTTTAAAATTAATGAAACGACCAATAATTTCATTTCAAAGAAAGTGCAGAAGATTGAATTTGGCCGGCTCTGTTTCTTTGTGATTATTGTTTGGGTAGTACAGTGGAATCTTCTTAACCCGAACACAGTTGATCCTAAAACAGTGTAAGCTGAAAGAAATTAAATTTGATGTTGTTTTCTAATCCCTTTAACTGCGAGCATATCGCTCTTGGCA